ACTGTCTTCCTGATTGCTCTTTTCTCTCTGTACTCATTATTAATGTTTCTGTTCATAATTCCCCCACACCCTGTATCCCCTTGTATTTTAGTGGCTGTATTGCCTTGCTTGGGATGATTCCAATTAAAAAAAAAAAATTAATGCAGAAACAAAAAACTCATTGCTCTTTTCATCTGATTTTTAAAAACTTTTTATCTCTTCCTTCATAAAAAAGTATATTTTTCATAAAGAAAATTAAGAATCTACATATTAAATGCAATGTATATCCATAGATATATATTTTTGTTATGTATAAAACTTTTTATATCAGGACAAAAGTTTATTCCATAGAGATGGGAGAATTGCCTATTTCTGTGTAGTAGACTCTTTTGAAGATGATGTTGGCCATCTCTCTCTAGTGGAATCATCTGGTGGTTGTATAGAAATGGAATTTTCTTCTTCATCATCAGTCCCATGAATGTGTGTGGTCATAGGGTCATTGTGCAACTGACTAGATACTATGACATCTGGATGGAAGGTTGGAGAGGATATTCATTCTGGTTACTCCTATCATTCTCTAAGTCAAACCACAGTGTATTCCACTGGTTTGGACATTGACTTCAGTCTGAAGCCCCCTGCCCAGTGATGCTGCATCATCACCACACTGGTTGCATACATAACTATGGAATCCAATTTACCCTGTTGTGCTAGATGGCCACTAACCCTACAAGACGGTTCATTTTCTTTCTCCACAGAAGGTTCACCCTGAGGCAACTCAAGGTAGAGAGTTATGTTAAGGGGTAGTTTATATGGATAAGAGGGGAAGATAATGGTTAACTCTAGACTTGAACAGGTTAAGATTGTAGTGATCGGGGAAACATCCTCTTGGGAGTCAGTTCCACAGAGCAATGGTTTGTGGGAAGTAGCTGTTTGAGTGGAACTTACTTCTCACTGTTGGAATATGGTGGTAAGGTGGGTGGTTTGCTACAATGTAAGTGACATAGCAGATCCTAGCCATGAAGGTTAGAACTGGTGGAACCAAGGAATGTAGTTTGTCCGAGCACCTTCTATGGAAGTAGCAATAGAGCAGTGAGAGGCTCGCCATGTCCTGCCTGTAAGAGAGAGGTTGGAGGGTGGAAAATAATTTGTCATCCACAAGGACTTGGAGATGGTTTTGAACTCTATTAAGACTGGAAAGTGAGGACTAGGCAGCACCCACCCAAATATGGCAACAATACTCTATTTTGGGCCTGATCTGGCTCTTGTAAAGGTATAGGATAGCACGAGGAGTCAGTTATTGGAGTGGTACAGGGAGCTGACCATTTTACCTGCACCTTTAGTGATGGATCGTATATATGAGGTCCACTTGAGGTCAGGTGTGAGTCTGAGGCCCAATTGTCTCTCAAGGCATGGTATCTCCTCGAGGGGACGTCCATTCATCATGATTGGTGGTATTTCGGGGTCTGATCAACGATAATAAAATCTAACTAGTTTGGTTTTTGAGGCATTGACTGTAACCAGTCAGTTACTACTAGGAAGTTAGTGTTAAATTGGAAGAGAGATCAACTACCAATCTCTGATCGTCATGATTTTTAGAGGTGTGTCTGTATATTGTCATATCATCAGCATAGATGTTTACAAATGATATGAGTATATTCTTAGGCAGATCATTTACATAAATTAAAAAGAGGGTTGGTCTGAGAAGTGACCCCTGGGGGATGGCTGTGTTGACTGCCAGGACCTTGAAGGATAAGCCGTTAATAACTACCTTCAGGCATCTACCTGTTAGGAAGGATTTTATAATTAAGAAGACCCTTCCAGTGATTACATAACTGGAGAGCTTGCATAGCAGACCTTTGTGTCATACCTTGTTAAAGGCCTTCAGATCATCTACTCTTTGATGGGGTCTCGTTTTTAATGGGTGTCTAATGTAATTAAAGATTTGCATTAATCCCCTTGAAAAAGGCATGAAAACATTTCTTCTCCCTCAGTTTTGGATAATTTTTAGGGTTACAAGTTAAGGACATCTCTAGATTCAAAAACATGGAAGAAACAACAAGTAACCATGCCACTCTTTACCAAGGACAGAAATGGCAATGCAGAGTTTACATTTACAGATATTAATGGAAAGGAAGCTGCGGACATTCATTTTTACCTACACTCTGAAGTGATATCACACTATAAAATCTGGGGTAGATTTTAAAAAAAATTATTTGGAAATATAAATTTGGAAACATAAAAAGTGGAAAGAATATTAAATATAGAATAAATCAGAATAGTTAAAGGTAAAGAAAATTTTATTTTAGGAAATTGGTTTGGTTTGGTTTGTTTTGTTTTACGGCATATCAACCTCAATGGGTTATTTAATGCTGACAACTCTTTTCCTGGTAATATTTTTGTTTTGTCAAAAATCTATTTCTGGTAATATTATTTTAGGAAATTAATAACATTTATAAATACAAAATTTTATAATAGGAATGATGATGCAGTGATACAGGCTTATATACATAATGTTAAAATAATATTCATAGTCTTAATTTGTCTGATTATCTTAGATTAAACATTTTCATTATTAATTTTTGCCTAGTTCATCTTTCATCTTATTATTGTTGCTTTTTAATGAATTGGTCAGTTTATGTTCTATGAGTAGGGATCAGAAATAAATAAATGGCATCTTATGAGATTTTAACTTTACCTGCTGGTTGGTCTTTGTGGATAAATTGGTTAGGCATCATCAATGTCAGATGCACTCCCAAAGATATGGAATGTGAGTTCAAATTCTTCAAGTGTAGAAGACATGCTGTCTTGAAAATTAACATTAGATATTTTGTCTGGTACTGAATAGTAAGAAACTGTCTACAATTTATTTATTGTCTCTTCTATCCAACAGTGTATTCCATGGAGGATTATAAATTTAAAAAACAGTATATTTGCCATTACTTACTGTATGAATTCTGAAAGAGTTCTACTGCTACAGAGGCATTTAAAAACATTTTGTACAGTGAAGGCTTGAACATGTCGGCTGTGGTTTAAAAGGTTTAAAATGGTGATTGTCACATATTTGACAAGCTTTGCTCTTGAAGGAAGCCTATTCTGATTGAAAAACTTTTGAAAGAGATTTGAATTGGATCAAAGCACCAGGGATTTGGTACAGAAACTTAATGTGTTATGTTCAACTATCCACAAACATCTCAAGTGAATTATGGAAATTTGCAAAGAGGGATTTTGGGTTTCTTGTCAGCTTTCACTTGAGAACCAGGCACAACACTCCACCATCTGCAGTACTCTCTTAACCATGAAGTGGAGTAATGGATAGCAGCTCAGATTGAGGGATCAGAAGGCTGAGTTTGAATTCCAGTCAATTCCATTATATTCACTTACATGCTAATACCCTTGGAAAAGGTATGGATCCTCTTCTTCTCCCCCCAGCTATGGGTAAATAGTAGGACAGACCGGGTTCTATAGCCTTGGATGGCAACTGGTCTACTGCAGAAAGAAATGGCAAACTACTGCAGGAAAAATCTGCCTCATCAGTCATGTATCGAAAGATACATGATTGCCTAAGCATGTATCATGCATGGCACATAACTGACTGACTGATGTCAATAAAAACTGAAAAAGATAGTCTTTATTACACAATATTGAACCAGTGCTAACACCAAAACCAAGACTCCATTCAGAGAAGTCCTGGCTTAGTGTTTGGTGGAATATGAAAAGTGTCATTCATCATGAGCAACTGGAACATGGAAGGACCATCAGTGCAAGCATGTATTGCCAGCAACATGATCAGGTAAATGAAGCATTATGTTGAAAGTGTTCTGCTTTGGTAAGGGAGAAATTGTACTATTCTTATGTATGACAAGGCAAGAGCACATTCTATCAGACAAACCCAAGAATGAATAAGGATGGAAGGTCTATCTGCATCCTCCATACATATAGCACATATAGATTTTTATTTGTTTCAATCATTAGAACATTTCATAATGTAGCAGAATATTCAGAAACAAAGAAGTTGAAAACTGTCTTTCAAACTTTTTATGGAGGGAAAAAACATATTTCTTTAAATAGGAAATTGAAATTTTGATTTCCATTGGGCTGAAGTCATTGAAAATGAAGGTGATTACATTTTTTTTATAAATAATATTTAAATAAACTTAACTTACATTTGTTTTTATATCCTTTCTGATGGAACATAATTACTTTCCAAACACCTTAATTGAAAAGTGTCCCTACCATCAAATGCATACTTAACTATGATTATTACCTGAAAGTTAATTAAATACTTTCATAATTAACAATAAATGTTATAATAAAATGTATATGCAAAGTTATGCATATTCTTTGATTCTTTAAATTTGCTGTAATTAGTTTTGAAGATAAGTCTTTCCTTTTGAATTTTTTAAAGGTGGGATATGTCTTATATCCGTTCAGGACATTGGCTCTCCACAATTTCTTGTCCTTTGTAGCTCTTAGTAAATTTTATATTTTTTCTATCTCTCCTAAACACAAGCTTGCTAGGTAGGTTACATGATGTTTTCTTCTGCTCCTCTTGCTTTCAATATGTCCTGTGAGTGTCAAATTTCCCAAGCCCTCTTTCCACATTATGTGTCCTAGAAATTCCAACTATCTCTTCCTGATGTTAAATATGTGTCTTTTTTGTTTCCATTTTCTTTAAAACTTTCTTGTTGCTCACACGTTCATTCCATGGTACTCTCAGTATGCTTCTGTAGAACCCCATCTCTGTTGCTTCATGTCTTTTCTTCATCTATGAGGAAATTGTCCAGCATTCACTGCCATAAAATATACTTAGTAGTGAATGGGTTAATGACAATGTTAGCAGACAATAGGCAGTTAATTTAGAAGTGTATTTTTTTGTTTGTTGAGAAAAATATGAAAAATTCAAGAGACATTTTGGTTTCATTCAGTTTTTGAGCATAACTTTTGTTATTCATGACAAAAAGGAAAAGCACTGGTGTGAGATGAACACGATGACAAAAGCTTATCTTCTCTTCTTTCCATTTCTAATAAATATGGTGGCTTAGAAAGTTTGTTTTTTTCTTTTTGCTGGAAAAGTTGACTAAAGAAATTTGGGTGGGGTTTAAATAATCAAAATTGGAAATCTGGTGGGAATGCAAGTGTAGGAGCTTTGAGGTAAGGAGAAAGAAAGAAGGAAGAAAGGAAAGAAAAAGAAGGGAAGGAAAAGATAGGGAGAGGGAGACATGCGCACACATACACACACAATTTGGGGAAATAAGTATAAAGAAGTGAAAATAAGAGAGAGGAGGAGTAGGAGAAGTAGCAGGAGGAGGAGAACAGAATGAATAAAAAAAAAGAAACAAAAAGAATACAAAAGGGTGAGTAAAAGAAGAAATATTAAGAGACGATATAGAATAGGGTGAAAATATGAATAAGTGGATTGAAAAAAGGCAAGATGATAGAATTAAAGTTTCTGCAAGAAATGATGAAGGAGAGCGAGAGAGAAAGAAAGGAAAAGAATAAAAAAGAGAAAAAGAAGTAAAGCAAATTAAATGGTTGCAATGAAAAAGAAGAGATAAAAAATATGGGAAAGGAAATAGAGAAAAAATGAGAGAGGCAGAGAAGGGAAAGAGAATTCTTTGAAGAGAAAAAAGGATAATAAAATGGTAAAAAAAAAAAAAAAGAAAATGATCTTAAAAATGAAGCAGAAGAAAAAGAAGAAAAGAAAAATTAAACAAGAAAAAAAAGGAGGAAGAAAAAGAAAGAAAGAGAGAGAAATGTTTTTTTTTTAAAAAAACTTGTGTTGTTTCATCCCCAACCATCTCATACCATTGCATATAATCACTGCTTGCCTCCTGCAGGCAAATACCACTTCAATTCCAATTCAGGGATAATTGTTTTTAACAATCTTTCCTATTTTTTTTTTTTTTGTTAATCTACAACAAGAAAACAAGACTGTCCCTAAATATTGGGTTGGGAGAAGTGTATTTTTATTGAAGCAATCTGAAAAAAAATGTCAATGATGAGGCATGATTGCAGAATATAAATCTGGAGAAAGACTGTTGAATTAACAGTTAACTATTGTAAAAATATCACATTTAGAGTGTATCCACTGGTTATTTGTGTAAAGAAGGCAAAGGTGCTGCTCCTGTTGATGAAGTTTAGATTAATATTTTTTGGGTGTTGTCAGGCAGGTGATTATCTAAAGTGTTGTAAAGAAGGTGCTAAAATTTATCAGAAATAAATATGAAAATACCTGATTAAAAAACTTATTGATTCTTTCTTCTGTTGCTAAGGATAGTTTGGTTGAAGGTTTTGTTATAATCCTTTCATTACAAACAGAAAGAAACCGGTTTCTTCTATGTAAAACTTGTAAACAATTTAGGCTGCTTTAAAAAAAATATCACATGATAGTTGCTTGCTTCATGGCTGAAATAATTGCACATTTTTTATCAGTGCCTGGTGAAAAATGTGCAGTTGTGCAGCTTTAAGGTCAAGCAAAAATCAGGATTTTGAACGCTGTTTTTCTAGGCCTTTTTACTTATTTTTTAATGCCATGTCCCTTCAGGACATTGGTGATTATAGATTTTTCTCTATTTGAGAATTACCATGCGTTCTTGGGAAAGATAGAGTGGTTTCCTATTGCCATCTTCATGGTTTAGAATTCAGTGTTTTTCTTATCTTAGATTTATAGCCATCCAAGGCTAGGGGACCCAGTCTACTCTGATATTTAACCTATAGCTGTAGAAAAAGGAACAGATTCATGCCAATTCTACTTTCCATGCCAATATCTGTTTTTCTACCAGCACATTCCTCTTTTATTTTATATAACACAGTTTTTTTTTCTCCCTCAGAGTGTAATACTGAGCAAACTAGTCTTTTACTAATAAAGTGAATATAATACACATTGGTACCTTATTATATGAGGGATGATCAAAAAGTATCGGGACTGGTGCTATAACACAAAAGCTACAACATATATCAATTCCATATTTAATCTCCTTTGAAGTAGTTCCTTTTTGAAGCCACACTCTTTATCAAGCATCGTTTCCATTAATGGAAGCATTCCTGGAACTCCTTTTTTGGGATATCAAGCATCTGCCTTGTTGCATTCCATTGGATTGCCTCAACATCTTGAAATTTTATTCCTTTCAAGTGGGGTTTGATTTTCGAAGAGGAAAAAGTTGCAAGGGACGTGAAATGGGGAATATAGTGGCTGTTGGACTTGGGAAATGTTTTACTTGGCTAAAAGCTGTTTGATCACTGATGGAAACTCTGTAGTGTGGTGAGATGACCACACTCTACATACTTACCTTCCAAATACTGTTGTAAGCAATGGAAGTGAGTGAGAATGTTATAACTTAGAGTATATGCATGACAGAGTTCAAAATATATCTGTGTCAAGTGACTTCACTTTGTATACTTTAGCTCCATTTTGATAGCAGCATTACTGATACTTTTTTATCAAACCTTGTAGTGATCTTGTGACAGACTAAGTAAGCTAAGATTATTAAATCTTTATTTGTGGTCTGCCTTATGAATTGTCTCTCACTAATGTCAGAGGTTGACTTTCCAGTCCAGATAAAAGGCCTGAATTTTGAATGCTGATTTTCTAGGCAGACAAACCTTCCCATTTTGTCCTTATTGATATGTAGGTTTAATGGTTAGTGGCTTGGAACAAGAAGTCAATGAATTTGTTTATTCTTCTTGTTAGCAATGGGTTAAATAGCAAGGCAGGCTGGGCTTTCTAGCTTTAGTTTGAAACCAGTCTAGGAGAAGGACAACTCTGAATTCAGATTCATATAGAATCCTGATATAGCACATATTATGCAGCCATTGACAAGACTCTATAATCTTGACTGTGAATGTATTGATGTATTATTACCAATATGATCTTTCTTACCCAGTTTCTTCTTAGCCTTTTGTCACACTAGAAAATAGTTTCTTAATGAATATCAAAATCTCAAGATGTTGTTCAGTATCAGTGGGCTGACAATTTTCAAAAAAGTTTAACAAATGAAAGAGAAAGATTTTCTTATTCTGAATAGATCAATAATCAATATCCAAACAGATAAGAAATTTTCAAGGACTGAATCAAATATGTTTATCAAGTGTAGAACTTATGAATGTGAAGTTTATAAAATTTTTGACAAGAAAATCTTCACTCTTTGTTGAATGAATATCTGATATATTTCTTTCAGAATATTCACCTTAAAATACTGCTCTTCTTCCACAAAAGACTAAGAGATCAAAATAAACAAATCCATCATGTCAGCTATGAATTTGAAGCAGATAAAGAGCAACCCCCTTGAATTGAAAATAAAAAAAAACTGGCCTCCAACAAACCTTTTGTTCTGTTTCCTCAGTTACAACAAATTCTCTCTTTTCTTCTCAATATTGGGAAAACCTGAAATGAAAAGACACAAATTCAAAAGTTTGCTGGTGATTATAAAGAGGATTAATAAAAATAACAGAGATGGAATTTCTCTTGATAAAAAAAATATTATTCCAATCAAATAAAAAGGATTAATTCTATGGGGATAGAAGGAAACTGTATCCTTTTGACAACAGAATTTGGAAAGTTATCCCTTTTGTTGTTACAATACAAGTAGGTGTATCAATTTTTGTTGGGATTCGTTTCAGCGACAGAAAAGAAATAAGAAATTGGGGGAGCTGAGTTCAAATTCCAGTTGGCTTTGTTACATTCACTTATGTGCAAATACTCTTGTGAAAGGCATGAACCCATCTTCTCCCCCAGTTATTGGTTAAATAGTAGAACTTGCATCTATAAAAATCATTATTCTTAAAAAATTGTTAATGCAGCATTCAATCACAAAAATAGAATTATTCTTATAATCAAAAATGTTTTTTTAGCTTTAAATAACCCACAAAGGGTTGATAAGCTGTAAAAAATAAAATAATTAATCAATTAATAAGTGTAGAATTGCAGTTGAAGAATTTTGAGGTTTTATCTATAGGTATAGATTGGGGAAAATTATGGTCCTTTGTAAAGGTTGACTAGAAGGGTAACAGCTTTTGTTGCTACTGACTGGGCAAGGAAAATAGTTATGGGAGAGTGCTTTGCTTAAATGTCCTATTCTCTTCTCCTTTAACTATTGCAGGCATGTCAGTGATAAAACAATTTGTCATGATATCTGGTGATTGGACAGAGTACAGGGAGAAATAGATTCATGTCTTTTCTAAGGGCATAGCAACTCCAGTGGTAGTTAAAACTTTAAAACTCAGTTCACTAATTCCTTCTTCCATGTGGGTAAAAAGAGTTGATCCTGTATAAACATTATGTATTGAGTTGAATTGTTTTTTTTTAAAATAGGAAATAGGAAGAAGAATCTACTTTTAAAAGTATTGATTTATTTGGTGATATAAAATCAATAGGATAGAAGGAAGGCAAGCTCTGATAGTTACAATTGATCTTTCAGTTTTTGGGGTGTGGGAGAACTCATCATTGAAATGAGATTTTAGATCCGATCAAAATTTACAGTCACTTCATTTTGAGTTATCTACAATTGAGCCACCCACTCACATTTTCAGCTTGGCTTACTCACCATTTGCTTCTCAGTGTCAATTAATCTAGATTTTAACCAGACTAGGTGGCAGCCATTGTTTTTTTTTTTTTTTTAACCTTTTTGGTACAAAATCTTTTGCTAGCTTTATATTCTATATTTATATATAACCTATGCTATACAAACAAAGTTTTAAAATATATCTCAAAATAACAAAATATCTTTACATATAGTAAGATTTAGGCACCTCAGTGTGGTGTAATGATTAGCAAGTTTGTCTTGCTAGAACAGTTAGGACTGAGCAGTGAGTGTGATCCTCACTGGGTGTCCCCTACTTTAGACCTTGTGCCACATCTAAGCTATGCGTGGAGAAATCACTATATTTGGGGCATCTCGACATGGTGTAATGGTTAGAAAGCTTGTCTTGCTAGATCAGTTACGACTGAGTAGTAAGTTTGATCCTCACTGGGTGTCTCTTACTTTTGGCCTTGTGCCACATCTTCGGTATACTTGGAGAAATCACTATATTAAGATTTATGACTACTGTTTCAAGATTCTATTTTCACTCAAATTTTCTTTATATTATTAAAACATCTTATTTCTTGGTAGTTGTGTGTTCAATCCCTGGGTCTGGTAGTCCTGACAAGGCACATACTCTGGTTCAGTAGATGACGCAGACAAACGACATGAAGGTGATTAAAACTGTGAGTTTTAACTGATATGAAATAAGTATTAAATTTATTAAATTTGGTTGAAGCTAAAGAGATGTGCTTCTACAGAAGTAAATTTTAAGGAAAATGAAAAAAAAAGGACACCTTTGCTTAGGTCCAGAAAGAGATGAAATTTATAGGACATAACAAGGAAAGAGAGCTTGGAGAATTTGACACTCACAAGGCATATTGAAGGCAAAGCAGATAGAGAGAAACATGACGTAACCTACCTAATGAGCTTGTGTAAATGGATGGAAGAACAGGGAGTGGGAGGGATAATAAGAGGGCAAATATTGTTTAGAGCTACAAATAATAGGAAGTTGTAGAGAGCCATGGTCATATGTATGGTGAATGGACATATATATGTTTATACTTGTGTTTATTGCTGCAATAAAGTCTATGTAAAGAAAAAATAGATTTCAAAATATATTTGATGGAATCCCTATAGATATTTAAATTAAATTTGATCCAAGCTTTCATAATGCTGGCAATTTTGAACTATGTTATTCATTAATACATAACTTATTAAGTATTAATAAATAACAGTTCAAATCTATGATCTCTTATTAAAGCTAAAGTGTTTGGAAACAGTGAAATTGTTTG